TATTATATTGGTGAAAGATTAGACAAATAGAGCAATGTAACAGAATAGAATCCAGAAATAAACTCACATATACACTGCCACTTGATTTACAGCAAAAGGATCATTGAAGTTCAATGAAGGAGAGTATGTTTTATAAATAATGCTAGAGCAACAAGATATCAAAATAAGAAAGTTATCCATATCCCTCAGCTCAAACCATATAAAATGAATTCAAGGTTGATCATAGGCTTAAATACAAAAACTAAAACAATTAAGTTCTAGAAGAAAACACAAGTATTTTCTTCTGAGCTTTGCAAAGATTTCCTTAATGGAACACAAAAAGCAGTAACCATTTTTTTCAAGGATAGATTAGACTTCATTAAAATTAAGAGTTTCTGCTGATCAAAATGACTCATTAGGAAAGTTAATAAGTAAGCTCAGACTAGAAAATAACATTTGTAATACATATAGTTTTAAAAATCTTGTATTGAACCCCACACTTCATCCTCAATCCCTCATCCTCAGCCCCTGGCAAAAATATAAGAATTAATTAATTAATTAATTAATTTTTTAAAAAGCTTGCAGCTAGAATACATAAAGTACTTCAAATCAGTAAGAAAAGAAAAAAAAATGGGCAAAAATTAAACAGCTATTTCAAATACAAATGACCAACATATGAAAATGTGTGTAACATCACTACCTAACAGGAAAATGAAAATTAAAACCACAATGTAGGACCATTACATACCTACCAGCATGGCTAAAATAAAAAACCAACAACATCAAGATTTGGTAAGGATGTCCAGCAACTGAAATGTACATATATTTCTGACATTGTATAAATTTATTCAACTACTTTGTAAAGCATTTTGACAGTATCTACTAAAGCTAAACATAAGCCCATCGTATGGTTCAGCATTCCATTCCTAGGTACACCGAAGAAAAACTAGTACATATACTCACCAAAAAATACATACAAGAATGTTCATGACATCTTCATTTGTAATAGCCAAAACCCAAAAGCAACCAAAATGATCATCAATAGGAGAATGGATAAATTATAGTCACTCAGTTAAACAGCATTCCATAATGAAAAAGAGTTCAATACATATAACAATAAGGATGAATCTCAAAATATAAAATTGAGCAAAAAATCCAGATAAAAGAGTACATATTGTATTATTCCATTTAAATGCAGTTTACCAGCAAGCAAAATTAGAGTTAGAAGACAAAAGAGTGATTATCTCATTGAGGAGATAGGGTTTGGACAGAAAGGAACAAGAAACTTTCTGAGTTGATGGTGATATTCTATAATATATCATTATCCAGATGTTGGTTACATAGGGGTACACACACACACATATACTGAGCTATTACACACTTAATGTGTACACTTTATGTAAGTTACATCTCAATTTTTTAAATCATTATTATAATTTTATTTCAGCATATTACAGAGGTAAATATATTCAGGTTACATATATTGCCCCACCCAAGTCAGAGTTTCAAGCATGTCCATCACCCAAACGGTGCACATCACACCTATTAGGTGTAAATATACCCATCCTATCCTCCCCCTTCCCATCTGCCTGACACCTGGGATGAATGTTACTACTAAATATGCACATAAATGTTGATCAGTTAATACCAATTTGATGGTGAGTACGTGTGGTATTTGTTTTTCCATTCTTGTGATAGACACATCAATTAGTAGAATGGCTCCAGCTCTATCCAGGATAATACAAGAGGTGCTAGATCACCATTGTTTTTGTGGCTGAGTAGAACTTCAGGGTATACGTATACCACATTTTATTAAACCACTCATGTATTGATGGACACTTAGGTTGTTTCCACATCTTCCCAATTGTGAATTGTGCTGCCATAAACATTCTAGTGCAGAAGTCTTTTTATAGAATGTTTTTTTTTTCCCTCTGGGTAGATGCCCAGTAATTGGATTGCTGGATCAAATGGTAGTTCTACTTGTAGTTCTTTGAGGTATCTGCATATTGCTTTCCACAGAGGTTGTACTACCGTGTTTCCCCGAAAATAAGACAGGGTCTTATATTTATTTTTCCTCAAGAAGACACCGTAGGGCTTATTTTCAGAGGATGTGTTATTTTCCCCTCAAAGCCTCAGCTTGCAGCATGCACAGGGTGGCTGGGACCTGACAGGGAGCCAACCTTGTTGGTGGGGCTGCCCGCACCTTTACCGTCACCTCTGGGATGGTAGTTATTACAATGGGGCAGATGAGAAGGGCTGCTCGTTTTCTTTACCACTCCGCCACGAAATGCATGGGTTGTGCAGAAGCGCTGCGTAGCCATGCCCATCACTAGGTCTTATTTTTGGGATAGGGCTTATATTACACAAATTCTTAGAAATCCTGCTAGGGCTTATTTTATGGGTAGATCTTATTTTGGGGGAAACACAGTAGTTTGCAGTCCCACCAGCAATGTAGGAGTGTTCCTGTCTCTCCACATCCACACCAACATCTATTGTTTTGGGACTTTTTGATAAAAGCCATTTGCACTGGAGTTAAGTGATATTTCATTGTGGTTTTGATTTGCATTTCCCTAATGAGAGATGGTGAGCATTTTTTCATGTTTGTTAGTCGTTAGTCTGTCTTCTTTTAAAAAGTTTCTGTTCATGTCCTTTTCCACTTTTTTTTTTTTTTGTTTCCAGAGCAATTTATTCATTAAAATCTACTCAATATGCCATCAACAGTTCTCTTGTGTGTATTGTGCTGATAAATAGACACTGAGAGGATTTAACAAGTACGTCATTTAATAAGTCTGAATGCGTTTTCACCACATAGTATTGTACACGGTCATCTGTTGACACAGATTTCTTTTTAACAGATCTTAGTTTAAAAAGTCATAGATAACTGTGAGTTCTGTGTAAACCGTGGATAGTAAGTTAGTTCCTTTGTTTTGACTTATGCCTCAACTTCACCGCAGAATAAGAATGTAGCCAAAGAAAGCATAATCGGTCACTCGTATAGAAACAGTATTGTTTCTATAATTTGAAGCTTTCTGAATTGACGAGTTCAGGCCGTGATGTAACTGTAAAAAGATTACTTAATGAATAGTATATGGAAATTGTACAAATGTTATTAACTTAATCATTAATAGCTTAAACAGCGCTATATTACTCACTGCATTCAAAATCAAAGCGTTTTTGAATCCCAGGAAGCGGCCATGTGTAACACTACCATGCCACCTTGAACTTAGGGGTGTGTCAACACATATTTCAACTTTGGCTTTAGGAAAGAGTCAAACATTTAAAAGAATGGCTTTAATCGTCATTTTAAGTATACGGTAGGGGAAAGTGTGCTTTAATTAAATATACATCATACCAGTGATGCTGGCAGGGGTGAAAGTTATTCCTAATGTCGACAGCTATAAAACCTAGTTTGTACATGACAGACAATGAAAGGAAAAGCAATCCTTTGAAACAAGATTTTAAATAAAAAATGTTCACAGTGGTTTGTATCAACATTATGCATTTATGACAAGACATGTACAGATTCAGAGCACCCTAGGGCTCTCTTTATATCTTAAAGAAAACGAGCATATACATTATTATGGGTTGTACTGAATTAAAAAAGATCAATTGTACACTTACCCTTAGACAGAATAAACTGTCTTGGGATGTACAGCTATAACACCATCATTAAAATTGTTTGCAAAGGAACAGAGAATTAAAACAAAACACTTTTTTTTTTTTGGAGTGGAGAGTCTTTCATTTGCTGTTATAACCGCAAATGCCATTCACTAAATCAAAAATGAAAGGAAGGGCCCCACAAACACAGATCTATCTGAGCAAGCTGACCAGTACACATTACAGTCTTAAATGAAGGTTTATACTATATGTTACAAGTCCCAACTAGGCAGTGTCAAAATGACATCTATTTCTTTGTTGCTTGTGTGATCATACCCCTTGGAGGTGTTACAGGTCTCGTGGCATTCGGCTTCTTTTTCTCTGCAGGTTTTAAAATCTGAAAAGAACACTTTAGTGTTCGTCCACACTCATCATGGCACCTGCATTGTCAAACTCTCCACAATAATTGGGTGCAGAAAACAGAGTGACCAACTGTCTCTTTGCAAAAAATTCATATCCATCTTCAACCACCTGATGGGCTGTACAAATAAGATCCAAATCATGCTTATGGAGAAATTTTGCAACCCACTCTGCACCAAATGTGAAGGACACTCCTCTGTCATTTTCACCCCAGCCTAAGACATCTTTATCGGGGTCAGACCACAAAGATCACAAAGAGACCTTGATCTGGTACATCAGTTGGTCGCATAATTCGCCGAATCTGCCCATAGATTGAAGATCTGGTGATAAACCTCCATGACAGCAGAATATTTCTCATCCACGATGGCTGCTACCGGTAACAGTTAAACAGTCTGTGAAGTTTTTCCATAGTTTAATGTTTTATCTTCTTTTACATTCATCATAAAATCCATAAATTCATTGATGCTGGCACATTCATGGTTCCTCTGAGAAGAAAAAATTCTCGGGATATTTGATTTTGTAGGCCAGTAAGAGGCAATAGTCTCCAATGACTGCTTCCCCCTGTCCACATAGTCCCAAGAAACGGGTAGTTGCTTTCTGGCGGGAACCTCCATACTCAAAAAGGCGAACAATCATAGTATTGCCCATGGATATCACCACATATTTGAGTGGTGCTTCAAGTTCTAGTAGGAAGGCTGACTGAGAAAGATCTCACGAGACTTTAAGCACAATCCTCTGATTCTTCTTCTTGTAGCTGGACATTCTTACCAGGCTTGGACCTCTCATTTAAAGGTCTGCAGATTCTACCCCAGAGCTGTTCATGCTCACACTCCATCACTCACAGCATTTATATTCCAACAATGTTTTAGGAGGACAGCATCAAGGCAAAAAGCAGTTAAAATGCAGCCAATTTCACATCTAATGTCCAAATCAAAAAGGCGATTTGACTGAATTCTTCAAAAGTCTTGGATGAGACGTTAGCATCTGTAGACATGCTCCTGAATCTTCCAGCAGCCGTTGAATGATGCTGTCGATGTTGAGTTTATCTATATCCGCCATCGCCTCACTGCACCCCACAGCGCTCCGCGCGGCTCGCGCCGGGACCACGCCTCCTTTCCCACGCCTCCTTTCCCACGCCAGGAGCAGAGGCGGTGGTGGCGGCGGCGGCAGCAGCCGCGGCGGGTCCCTCCGCCGCCCCGCCTGCTTCCTCCTTCTCTCCACTGGACCACGAGCCTTTTCCCACTTTTTAATGGGGTTGTTTGATTTTTTCTAGATGATTTTCCTGAGTTCTCTATAGATTCTAGTTATCAGCCCTTTATCGGATGTGTAGCATATGAATATTTTCTCCCATTCTGTACGTTGTCTGTTTTCTCTCATGATAGTGTCCTTGGTTGTGCAGAAGCTTTTTATTTGTAGGTCCCATTTATTTATTTTTGTTGTTGCTGTGATTGCCTTTGGGGTCTCCTTCGTAAATTCTTTTCCTAGGCCAATTTCTATAAGAGTTTTTCCAACATTTTCTTCTAAAATTCTTATGGTTTCATGCTTTAGATTTAAGTCTGTTATCCACTGTGAGTTGATTTTTGTGAGAGGTGAGAGGTACGGATCCTGTTTCAGTCTTCTACATGTGGTATCCAACTTTCCAGCACCATTTATTGAATAAGGATTCTTTTTTCCACTGTATGTTTTTGTCTGCTTTGTCAAAGATTAGATGGCTATATGAGGATGGTTTTTATCTAGGTTCTCAGTTCTGTTCCATTGGTCTATGTCTCTCTTCTTGTGCTAATACCATTCTGTTTTAGCTACTATAGCCTTGTGGTATAGCTGGAGGTCTGGTAAATTGATGCTTCCTGATTTGTTCCTTTTGCTTAAGATTGCTTTTGCTATACAGGGTCTTCTCTGATTTCATACAAAGCGTAAAATTATTTTTTCTAGATCTGCAAAAAATGATGTTGGTATTTTAATAGGGATTGCATTGAATCTGTAGACCACGTTGGGTAGTACAGACATTTTAACATCGTTGATTTTCTTGACCCATGAGCATGGTATGGTTTTCCACCTGTTGACGTCCTCTGCTATTTCCTTCCTCAGTGTTTCGTAGTTCTCCCTGTACAGGTCTTTCGGCTCTTTAGTTATATATATTCCTAGATATTTTATTTTCTTTGTTGCTATTGTTATTTTCTTTGTTGTTTGACTATTGTTGGAATATAGGAATGCTACTGATTTCTGTACATTGATTTTGTAACCTGAAACTTTGTTGAATTTGTTTATAAATTCCAGCAGTCTCATGGCAGAATATTTGGAGTTTTCTAGACATAAGATCATATCATCAGCAAAGAGCAATAGTTTGACCTTTTCTGCCCCTGTTTGGATGCCCTTGATTTCCTTCTGCTGTCTGATTGCTTTGGCTAAGAGTTTCAGCATTGTTTAGAAAAAAAATATAAGGCAGGTGACATTGCTTCTTTGTTTAAACCTTCCAATGGCTTCCCATCTCACTCCTAGAGAAGCCCAACTCCTTACCATTTACTGTGTCCTCCATGGCCTACATGATCTCCTTCAACTCGCTTGCGCCCAGTTCAATCACACTCCACCTCTCTCTCACATACTGTCAAGTACCCCAAGCATGCTTCTGTCTCAGGACCATTGCTCTTGCTTGGAAAGTTCTTTGCACTCATTATATCTGCCATGCCATGTATTTTCCACATTATTTATCGTAAATCTTCTACACTTGAGTGTAAGCTTTGTGAGGGCAGAGATTTTTTTTAGTTTTGTTTACCACTATATCCCTAGCATCTAGAAGAAAGCCTGACATATAAGAGTGCTCAATAAATCTTTTGTAATGAATGATCAAACCATCATCATACCACTTTCACTAAATATCAGATATCTTTTGTGTACACTTCATGTTATCTCAGCCAACCTCTTATTCTAACCATTCTACAGCCACCAGAGTTCCATACAGATTTTGACAAATTGTCCTGGCTTAATGTGACAGTGACTAACCTCAGACCATGTGATGGATTTTTCACTCTTACACTGCAGCTTCTTATGCCAAAGTGTGGAAGTCTGTTTACTCATGAGAACCACCCACAACAGTGGGAGAGTTAACTCAGTTGAGGCAACTTTTGATGGATGGGAAGGAAAGCTAATGGATAAATCCCTTTTCTTCTCATCCTCTAGGTCAGAGGTTGCAAACCCTTTTCTTTAAAGAGCCAGATAAAAATAATTTAGGCTTTGTGGGCCATACAATCTCTGTCACAACTCTGCCATGATAGCCTAAAAGCAGTCATAGAAAATACATAAAGTAATGGTGTGGCTGTGTTCTAATAAAACTTTATTTTCAGAAACAGGTGGCCAGATGGATTTTCCCCAGAGTCAATAGTTTGCTCATTCCTGCTCTCGGCAGCTGTCTGAGATACATTTCAAAAGGCTCCTCTGAAGTTCCCATCAGGATCAAGTGCCAGTTTTCTACAGTGGTTTTCAAATCAATAACACGTCCTTGTATTGGCTTTCCTTCCTTCTCTGTTTCACTCTTCCTGTCCTTCCCCAGAATTACTTCCCAAATAAATGTCTTTAATATAAGACATAGTCTGACTTTGCTTTCAGAGGAGCATGGACTACACCACCATCCTCAAAAACATGACTGCATTCTTAGTATGGGTCAAATGTTTGTCTAATTCCTGGTAGTGAGTACAAACAGTCTTTGATCTCATAATAGGCTATTTTACTGGAAAATATACCATAAGTAAAAATTAGGTACATGAAATCTGATTTTTCTAAGAAACAAAGTGATGTTAGCTTTTCTGGTTTCAAGGACCAGTGCCCATTTTTCCATAGAAAGTGTTTTAAATGAACATTATAAATAGACCTGGCCAAAATAGTAAACAAAGAATTAAATTTTATTTAGTATAATAAGTTAAATAGTCAAACTAAAAAATTCTTTTAGTTTTTTATCTTTGTGGCTCCTGCCTAAATTGTATACAATGTATGAAAAGAAGTTCCTCCTTATGTGAGGAACTTCTGACAGTCCAGGAAGAAATGCCAAACCTCTCTAATGGCAGTTGAAAACCTGATCTAGGAATGTTAGGTGATCTAGGAATGATCTACGAATGCTCTTGAGCTTTTTCTTTTCTTTCTTTTTGTTACTGTTTCTGTGTGGCAACACAGGCTTGACAATCAGTTGTTAGATTTTCTGCTACATACAGTGTTGTTGAAATTTTTCTCAAAATTGTCTGTGTTTGCCTGCCATAACTTTGATGAGTGATAATACAATTATGTCTGGCAAAGCACCATAAATATGATATTCACTAACTTGGATCAGTGTAATAATGTTAATTATGGTGATGTGAAGTCCCGATGTGGCAGCATGCTGTTGAAAGCAAACATTAAGAACATTCACATTGCAATCTGCACATTTCTAACCATAGGCAGCCATTTCACAAGGTATGGTATTGTCCACAGAGAGGTCTTACAGGAAAGTGTTGATGATATACCTATTAGAGAAACAACTATTAGAAAAACAAGTTCTTCTAATGGTGAATTTCCCAACCTATATAGGCCCACTTTGCCTGGAATATAGGGAAATAAGTCCTTATTTCAAGTTAGGATGCCAGGCTTCAATTTCTCTGTCTTCTATTTCCTAGCTCTGCCACCTTGGACAATTTACTTCACTTCTCTAAGCCTCAGGTGAGATTCTTTATCTTAAAAGTGGGAATAATAATAGTACCAACTTCATAGGGTTGTTGTGAGGATTAAATAATTTCTGAAAAGAATTCAGCACAATGCTCAGCACACAGAAAATGCTTAACAAATGTTGCCTGCTGCCGCCATCATCACTGTAATCATCATCATTGTTCTCACTTCTTTCTATAGACCCTTTGAACTTACTTTATCTTCTCTGAACATCTGGAGCAATGTTTTCCAACCCCTTCATCCCCATTTCTATGAGCATATATCTTCACATAGTACACTCCACATTCTGACAGGCTACTACCAGCATCATCGAAAATCTTCTTAGCTATTGGCATCTTTCATTCTAATTTCAGTTGGTTTTACTTTCTGTAGCTGGAAACATGAAATAATTTCTATTTCTATTCCTCCAGTCCTCTCTGTTTCTGCTGTCCCATCCATGTCACATTCCCCCTAGCAATATATCTACCTTCCTGTCCTCAAGGAGTTTGCTGGTGGTGATAGATAAGCAAATTAGTAACTTCAACTTAGCTTTGAGATTTTTTTCAAGCACATGCAGTAGAAGAACAAAGTACAGTGTAACAGATTCAGGTTCAAGTTGGGATGGAGGGAAGATGCCCTTCCATGCAATTCTTCTGCCCTCTAACTCCCCCCAACCCCTTATGAAAGCGTCTTTCACTGGTCAGCCCTCCCTGGTCAGCTCTCCAGGGACACTTGAAAATTGTCTTTTGCTTATCATCACCACCTTCTACCCAGATCCTCCTCCATTATGGTCACCCCCATTAAAATTCCCATTAGCTCAAAAATAAGATTTCAATGAACTATCTGAAGAATAAAGAATAGATCAAATTAATTCACACTAAAAAGAGCAAATAATTGCTGGCTCCATGTACTAATTCATTCTATTTTTAGCTCTTTATATTGAAATTCCCTCTCCCTTAGTTTGATAATAAAAGCATGAAGTAAGAGTATCAAGAACGTCCAGTGTCCTACCAGAGGATCTACATTAAAATCTTAAGCTAGTTATCCCTAAGGACTACATTCCCAAAGGTGGAATTTCAGTGTGACTGGCTCGTGTGTATGTGTGTTTAGAGTGGCGAAAAGTGGGGAGGTTTGCCTGGATGTGAACAATTGCTCCTTACATAGCTCTTTGGAAAGTATGAATTTTTTGCATATTAAGTGGTCTTAGAATAGGCCCTATCTATGAAGAGAAAATTTCAAACCTGATACATGTATTGCTGAGGCAAATAAAGGGTCCTTTGCAAATGTATAAGTGTCCTTTTTACAGTAGGTAGCTTGTCTAAGGGCCAGACATAATTTAAAATGAAACGTAGGAGTACGGAATGATCATGAAGTTTCAAGGTAGATTTTTA